ATAATCGACGGAAAAATAATCCAGAAATATTTTCGGTGTATGATTTGCGTAAATGGTGTAATGATCATAAAGATGGTGGTGATTCATCACATTCAACATTTGTACCATATTATTCGATTGATAATGTCGATAATATTTTTGTATTATTTACAACAAAACAATTAATACAACAAACCCAATTTACAACTTTGTTACAAGTAGATGCTACATACAAAATTACATGGAATGAATTGCCGTTATTAGTGTTTGGAGCATCTGACGCTGATCGTCATTTCCGTCCGTTTGGCATTGCTTTAGTGTCTAGTGACGAAAGTTCAGCATGTTATGAACAATTATTTAATCAACTTCGACTTATATCAGCACAAGAATGTAATCGTCCATATTTAGTTAATTATTTAATGGCTGATGGTGCATTAGGTAAGTTGTAATGCGGTTTCATTAATCGGTAAGTTATGGCATTCTTTTGGTTTCCTTGTAGGGATAGCAAGTGCTCAACAGGCAGTTTTTCCACAATCAAAACGTTTAATGTGTTGGGCACATGTCATTCGTAAATGCCGAGAGCATAGAAAATTGGTTCCAAAAGATAAATGGAATGATATAGATGCTGATATTCATGCTCTACAATTGAGTTTTTCCGATGATATATTTAGTCGTGGTTCATTATTATTAACGCAAAAGTGGAGTGCTGATTCAGCTATTCAACAATTTCAACAATATTTTTTTGATCAATGGATTACAAAATTACCGCTATGGTAAGAAAGCTTGTTTATTTTTAATTTAGATTATCACTCTGACGTTCATTCTGTCATAGCTAGTTAACTAATTTTGCTGTTATAGGTATGAAGGTGCAGCATTCAATCTACCCTCAACGAACAATGGCTGTGAATCATTAAACGGAAAGATTAAACAACAATATACACTTAGAAATAAATTACATTTATCATCGTTTTTACCAAAGGTGGAACAAATGTTAAACGATTGGTCGACAGCTACTTTATCACAAGGTTTTACCATCAAAACTTCTATATCATCTACTTTAGAGGTAGCCGCATTCAAATGGTCAAATGATATTGATAAAACTAATATTTTACATTGGTTTGATACATGGTATATTGTTCCATCATCGAATGCAATAATAACACCAGTAGTTTGGTTACAAATGTATCAATTACAACAATGGAAATCATTTGATGAATTCGTTATGTGGCAGAAATCTTGTTGGTCGGTTTCACCACTTAATTCATGTACATGCCCAAGTAGTAGGAAATTATATTCATGTAAACATTCGGTTGGCTTAGCCATATTATTTAAGATTTATGAAATACGTGATAAAACTCGTTGTGAACTTTTAGGTAAACGACGAGGAAAAGGTAGATCAAAAAAGGTTCGATCTGCTTTGATGTTATAAACCAGTTGCTGTTTATGTCGAACTGTTGTTCATTGTATTCACTATGTTGCATGTGATGAATTACCACCATCTTTAAGATTCATTTGGCGACTAATTGTTCTTGTTCCTTGTAAAAACATATCTTCTTTTTTGGTGCTCATTTGTCTTATCACTAATTTGGTGCTCAAAAGTCTTCTTTTTTGGTGCTCATTTGTCTTATCACTAATCTGGTGCTCAAAAGTCTTCTTTTTTGGTGCTCAAAGTAAATACCGTCCGTAGTTTCGCTAAATTTTGTTACATATGATACACTATGTCT